AAAAAAAAAAAAAACTGTCTTTACTATATTAATTATGCAAAACTTCTCTAATAGAAACGTAGACATACCTTTTATGTATATGTGTTTACCCTTTGAAGGTTTGCTTATTTTGCTCTCAAGTCAAGTTTGACCGCGTTTTAAGCAACTAGAGCCTGAACTAGTCTTTGGCTGCTGATTCTATTTACAAGATTCTGAAGGGAGTGATGAAAGAGGACAATAATGTATTAGGAATGACACTGTTATTATTCATGTGCATAATTATTGGCTGCAGTTGTGTATGCGCTCAATTCGTTGTTTTTTATGTATTTGTGTGTGATGCAGTTGGTGAATTATATATTGAATAGCCAACATGGGAAGAGAATAGCAGTAATATTGAATGAATTTGGGGAGGAGATAGGAGTGGAAAGGGCAATGATCAATGAAGGTGAAGGTGGTGCTCTTGTAGAGGAGTGGGTTGAGCTGGCAAATGGGTGCATTTGTTGTACTGTGAAGCATAGCTTGGTTCAGGCGCTAGAGCAACTTGTGCAGAGGAAAGAAAGGTTTGATCGTTTTCACTATGCTCTTTAGTTTTGTAGATTTTTGCTGCAGTAGCATGCGGGCTACAAATGCAGTAAGCAAGTTTTCAATATCTTGGTAGTAACCATGTGCGAGTGAGTGTCCTTTCTGCTGAAGAATATCGCTTTCATTTGAGCTGGTTTAACATTTCTATAGTTGTATTTTGTGTGGGTCTGTGTGCCCACTTTCCCAAATTTTTTTGGGAAAGTAATTGAAATCGCAACATTTATTTGACGCATCGTAGATTTCCTTGTTTCCTTTTGTATTGTCACCTCTCTCTGGACATGCGTGTGTGAGATAATGGTTCATGTTTCTCCCATTGACTTAGACTCCTATTGATGAATGAACATAAGGGTTTTTGAGCTTCTATGAATTAGTACAGGATTGTGTGTGACGGCTTGGAACCTTTATTAGTTGGAGACTTGTAGTACATTAATGATCAAAATGTAAATGTTAGCATTAATTTTGACAATTAAAAATAATGTCCACAGGTTTTTAAATGAGAAAAAATAATAAAAATGAAGAAATGTACATTCAAAAACTGTTGTAAGTTCTTGAGCCGAAATCAGTCATGTATTTCCTTTTCTCAATGAACAAGTACCAATTTCAATTTCCAGATTGTACGCTTCAAAACCTCTATGCAGTTCCTGGTGATCATACAACTTAACACTTCTAATATACTACTTTTGATTAAACGATGCCATTTGATTGTGTTTGGTTAGATAGACTATGAAATCACGATCTACATTTCCTGCATAACCAAATGAAAAATGGAATAATATCATTTGACAACACTGCTATGTCCTTAAATTAAAATATTTGAATTCAAACAATGAACATTCGAAATAAGTGAGAAATAAAAAAGGGAAAAAGAGTACTTATAAACTGAAGTCTTGATGGCCATTGGTTAAGTTGTTCAATATTGTTTGTAGTTACAGATTTGTTTCAAATATATAAGCTCATAACAAATGGAGATTATCATGAAAGGATTAAATAAAATATATAAGTGAGTTTGGTGAGTTACACTTTTTATTTTATTCAAACTTGATAATTGTCCGTTAGGTTATCTAATTCTTAACTCTATTCATTTTTTGTAAAAGATGGAATAAATGATGCAGTAGTCAAAATTGTAAATTAGAAAACAGAAGTATGTTTAAGCAAATTTAATGGGCGGAATGTACACATATGCAGAGAGAGACAGCAAGAGTGAGATCTGTTTCTTTGAAGTTGAAGTAATTAATTTAAAACCATGTGTTCAGAATTACCATGCATCCTCTCATAAATGAATGATCTGCTAATTACTTTAGTTGCATATAGGCTCGACCACATATTATTAGAGACCACAGGGTTGGCAAACCCTGCTCCTCTAGCATCGGTCCTCTGGTTGGATGATCAGTTGGAAGCTGCTGTCTCGCTTGACTCTATTATCACTGTAAGTTCTGAGAATTGTAATTGAACATAGAGATTGCTGTGACTCTCTATAATTGCAACACTTACAGTTACTCAACCATTTTTAATTTTTTTCAAGATTTCTGTTTCTAAAAGGTGTCTGCACCTCTATTAGGTGGTCGATGCCAAAAACCTCCATTATCAGCTGAAGTCACATAATGACTCCTCTTCGTTTCCTGAAGCATACCATCAAATAGCATTTGCGGTGATTTTTTAATTATGATTGTTTCCGTAGATAACCTGTCTTTCTTGGTCTAGTTCTCTTGAATTTCTTCTTGTTGTTGGTCAATCCAGATGGTAGAGACACTTCAGGTGCTTACTTTTTTCTGTTTGTTATAGGATGTTGTGATTCTTAACAAGGTTGATCTTGTTTCTTCCGAGAACTCTGACACTCCTTTAGAGGATCTGGAAAAGGAGATATATAATATAAATTCCCTTGCCAGAATTATCCGTTCTGTCCAGTGCCAAGTTGACTTGTCCAATATACTGAACTGCCGAGCATACGATGCTACAGTTTGTAACTTAGTTATTCTTCATTTCCACTGGTTGTCATATGTATACATTTTCCAGGTTTTGTGGTGATTGTTAATGAACTTACTATGTAATTTTATTTTTTCCTTTTTTCTTTTCTTTCATTTCAGCATGTGACTCATTTGGAAGCATTGTTGGAAGAAAATAAAAAGCTATCCACCAGAGATCTTCATGATAGCAGTGTGAGAACTTTATGCATTTGTGAGCCAAAGAAAGTTGATTTTGATAAGGTATTTGAAATGATGCTAATGCCTTTGCATCTTTTGTTCCTGGCTTTATGAGGACAGGTTATTGTAAATAAATGATGTATGCATCATAATAATTGTAGTAGGTAAAATGTTTAAACTTTTCTTTTTCGTTCTTTTGTATTTTACATTTTAGTAATCACTAGTAAAGTAGAGTTTGTATGGTGGAAATGTGCTGTATGCCTTTCTTGCTGTTTTGTGTTTGCATCATTGATGTTTTTATGGCATGTATACAGTTAGTAAGCTGACGGTCACTCTTTCTAGGTTAGGATATGGATTGAGGAGATTATTTGGGACAAGAAATACGGCATGGATGTTTATCGGTGCAAAGGAGTCTTAAGTGTCCTAAACTCTGATCAACTTCATACTCTGCAGGTATCTTTTCTAAACTCAGTGGGATACCTCAATCAAGCTTAGGTTTTATTTCCTGTAATGCTTGGTGTTCGAGTATCCAAGTTGTCGGGCCCAATGTTCGACAAGTCTGTCTATATGTTGAACATTTTCCCTTTGTTTTGTGCAAACAAGAGTTGAAGCCTTTTCTCTTTAAGTTGTTGGAATACCTCTAGTTTTTATTATATTATGAGATTTACTCATTGAGTTTGGCGTTTTAGATATGACTTGATCGATTGTTTTCTTTTTAGTTTCAATTGAATCTCCGGTAATTAATATCTCGATGAAACCAAAGTTTTATGCAAATCCATGTATTGTTACAAGGCTGTTCGTTCAAACGAGCATAATTATTAGCAATCTTTATAGGATGAAGTTGGTTTTGCTAAATTTGTTGATTGATTCATTAACAAGCCAATTGTTTTTCCTTTCTGATGGTCTATCGACTCTGGCAGGTCGTGAGGGAACTATACGAGATTGTTCCAACTCGCGAATGGAAAGATGGAGAAAACAGAATCAACAAAATAGTTTTTATAGGTATGCATTGTCATGATCTAAGTGAATTCTAGATTTAAATGAATGGTCCACTTCAGCTATGAGTTGCTTGTGTGCAGGCAGATTACTAAATGAAGAGATTCTTATCGACTCTTTGAGAGCTTGTACCTTGTGAATTTGCTACAGATGCAATGTGCTTAATGGAGGCACTACTCCTTGAGGCCATACTGTGTCCAAATTTACGTGTCACATGTAACGTTTTCACCTTTGAAGTTATTTTTGTCAAATAATTCCTTGTTTGTAATCATGTTCGAATATGTTTATAACTAACAAAGAGATCTCAATTTAGGGATTACTTTAAAATAACTGATTGACTATTTTCATTTTTGATTAAAAAAATAAAACGAAAAAATATTTATATTAAAATTTACTTATTTTATAATGTGTAATATGCTATTTGTAATTGTTCTTTTACGTGACATATATATGGCAAATGATTATTTGATATATGAGTCGATAAAAATTTACCGTATTAATACATCAAATAATCTTGTATGTCACATCACGTAAGACGACTATCATAATGAGCGACTACAAATAACATTATTCAACGTAAAAACCAAAAAGAAAGAGGAGAAATAACCACGACCAAAACTATAAAATTCTTATTCATCGGCGATAGACTTGCTGTCGGAAGATTGGCCAATGGTTGAACGTTACATGGAATTTCAATTCTTCTTTGCCTCATTGAGATGTAAAACTGCAAAGAGAGACTTTCATTGAGCAAGTATTTTTTAATTAATTTTTATCGACACATTTTTAAGAGATTGAAAAATATAACTCCTTAATCGTTCTTATAAGTTAAAACATTTAATAAAAAATTCTAATCATGTTTTACAACTGGCATGCGAAGTCGTCAGGTCAAGTTTGACTTGCGCCTGCCCGAATAGACTTTTTAATGAGGAAATTGTTGGAAATGACCGAATAACCTAGGTGTATTTCCAAAATGATATTTGACCATCTTTTTAATTAAAAAAAAACAAAAATTGAATTTAAAACTCAAAATCCCAAAATACCCATCGGCTATCCTCTTTCCATTTGCTCAACAATCGACCAAAAATAAGGAAAATACACAATCGATTTCCAATCGATTGGGAGAACTTTTGGTTGGAGAACTGCTAGTCCATCGCCGACGAACTATTTCTTAATAAGGTAACCGTTATTATATTGAATATTTGCTTGAATTAATGTTTAAATTTTGATAAAATATGTGAATGATTCATTTATGGGAAATTTTTTCAATATATTGTTGGTTATATATGTAATATAGGGTTTAGATATGTGTTTTAATGGGTGAATTTTTAAATTTGTAAGCTTTTCTCGTCGGAAATAAAGATTTTCCGGCGAGAAAAGGTGGAGGTTTGCCGGATACAAGGGCAGTCGGCATTTTTGAGTGAAACTCGACTGTTAACAATTGGGTTTAACAGTCGGTATGGGCCGACTGTTATAACAATCGGTATTGACCGACTATATACCGGCCCAACTTAGTGGCCCGACTGTTGGGCCAACTATTGACCCACTCCTTTTTTTTTTTAATAACAATTTATTTAGTCGTCGAATTTAAATAAATTTTTAATTTTTAATTTTTAATTTTATTAATATTTTTGGATGATATTTTTTTAGTTCATCAAATTTAATTAATTTTTTTATTTTAATTTTAAATAATTGTTGGAAATTTAATTTGAATTTAGTATTTATTTTCATTATTAATTTTTGATAAATAATAATTTATTTAGTCGTCGATTTTAAATAAATTTTTTACTTTTAATTTTTAATTTTATTAATAGTTTTGGATGATATTCTTTTCGTTCATCAAATTTAATTAATTTTTTAATTGTAATTTTAAATAATTGTTGAACATTAATATTTATTATTATTATTAGTTTTTGATAAATGATAATTTATTTAGTTGTCGAATTTAAATAATTTTTTTACTTTTAATTTTAAATTTTATTAATAGTTTTGGATGATATTTTTTTCGTTCATCAAATTTAATTAATTTTTTAATTATAATTTTAAATAATAGTTGAAAATTTAATTTGAAATTTAATATTTATTTTTATTATTAGTTTTTGATAAATAATAATTTATTTAGTCGTCGAATTTAAATAAATTTTTTACTTTTAATTTTTAATTTTATTAATAGTTTTGAATGATATTCTTTTCGTTCATCAAATTTAATTAATTTTTTTAATTATAATTTGAAATAATTGTTGAAAATTTAATTTGAAATTTAATATTTATTTTTATTATTAATTTTTGATAAATAATAATTTATTTAGTCGTCAAATTTAAATAAATTTTTTACTTTAAATTTTTAATATTATTAATAGTTTTGGATGATATTCTTTTCGTTCATCAAATTTAATTATTTTTTTAATTGTAATTTTAAATAATTCTTGAAAATTTAATTTGAAATTTAATATTTATTTTTATTAATAGTTTTTTATAAATAATATTCCTTTCGTTCATCGAATTTAAATATTTTTTGAACTTGAATTGATTAAAAAAATATTGATAATTGGGAAAAATTGACATGATTGATAATAGGATAAACAAATTCACATTATTGATGATTTTAATTATTTTGAATCTGTGTCTTGCGTATTGTAGTTATACTTTCGTTCGCTAAATTTTCTATTACTATGCTTTATTCTATTATCACTTGTACAATGTCATAATATTTTAAATTTTTACAAGATGAATTATCATCTCGACGCAGAGTTGAGACACATGCCAGGCAAAGCTACATGGAATAGTAGCTTTGATAGTTTCACTGCTGTGTTAAAGCTGCTCGATGATCAGCATGCTGATATGCTACGTCAGTCCTTCCTGTGGTCCTTGTACCCGTTGAGAGATCTGCAGTACTCGGGTAAGATTATTGATGTACTTTTATGTCGATTGTTGAATTCAGTGAATGGCGAGACCCTCCACTTCACAATCAGGGGCAAAGTCGCCAGTTTTTTTATGTTCGAGTTTGCTCTGATCACGAGATTAAAGATTACGGGCGATGAAACAGCTAGAGATGGGATTCAGACGAGAAATAGGCTTCATGACGCTTAGTTCGAGAGACGGGGAACTTTGCTTCTTACACAGCTGTTTGATGCAATTAGGAGGTGTGATCAGATGTTAAACAGACTGAAGTTAGATCTGGTCTACATCTTTGATAGCGTGGTGCAGTGTCACCATAAGAAAACTACGATCGACCTCTTCCATCTGGAGATCGTTGACGATATCGATTGTTTCAATGACTATCCGTGGGGCCGGAGATGTTTCGAGGATACCGTACACGTCTTCACCAGATAGCACTCGAAGCTGAAGGGAGCCATACGTAAGTATGACACCTATGGATTGTCCCTGGTGGTGCAGGTAAATGGTTAACATAATGAATCTTAAAAAATTTTCCTATTGAATTTGTATATAATAATTTTGTGTGTTGTAGATCTGGGCGTATGAGACCGTCCCCCTATTGGGTGCCCACTTTGCGAAGCAAAGGGAGACACGCTGTCCTTGGATGCACCATTGAAGAGCATCTCAATCGGAGGGATGTTCCACTGGGAAACAGTTATCGGCTATCCTTGACGCCCTCAGGTGAGTATTATGCATTTGTAATTTATATTGTGCGTGATTTAACATCTGATTACATGATCGTTAACTAATTCAAATGTCAATATGTCAGCTTGAAATCATAACTGAGTTGACACTGTCGATTGAGGAGGAGGCTCAAGGTCTTGTGCGTGAATTAGGCGTTTCGCACACCCAAGACAACCAGATGTTTGATTCGATCCACGACTGAGATTGGGTGAGCGATTGAATAAAATCTATTAGTTATCGTTTTGTATGAGTTAGCAATTACGGATTAAGTTAATAATTTGTAATGTTGTTGCTTGTGTAGGAGCGTGATCCAGTTGATCGACGATCACCTCCGCTGAGGGCATCACCACCTCTGCCTCCCCCGTTCAGAGACCTTCCCCGTGGATCTCCCACACATGATCAGGGGTACAATTTTGATAATCTGTATGCCCGTCTGAGCGGATTTATAGTGGAGCAAGTCGACGGGCTGCGTCGAGAGATAATAGAGAAGGTTGATGATCTGGGACGACAGTTGGTAGGAAGGGTCGAAAACTGTCAAATGATGTTAGTGTTGCGTGGCCATTGTGCGGACTTTGAGGATGAGATTGCAGCACTTCGAGATGATATAGCCAGGAGGCGATAGGTTGACGGAGATAGTGATCGGGGGGTGATCGAGAGGGTGATCGAGATGAGGGTCACTGGTAGTCGTATATGCATAATGATGATGCATGAGAATCATTTATTTTATCCGTGGAGTACGATGGGATGGGAGTGGTGGCAGAGGAGATGGCCCCATCGGGGACGGAGACAGTGGCAGATGAGAGAGTGATCCCGTCGGAGACGGAGATGGTGGCAGATGAGAGAGTGGCCCTGTCGGGAACGGAGACGGTGGCAGATGAAGAGATGGAGGACGTGGCGAACCTTGAGGTGGAGGGGGTGGCAGTGTATAAGGCTAAAAAATGTGTTGTTGACATGCTGGAGACGGTGATCGGCAAGAGGCCGAGAGTGCCGTCATAGTACGTCGTTTCTCCCTTCACGGCTGAGGCGAAAAGAAGGAGGTTCGTCGATGGGACGTATCCCAATCTATTCCGGGAAGTCGACCATACCAAGTGGAAAGCATTCGAGGCCGAGTGGTGAAGAATGTTGCCCAGGTAAGTATTGTATGATTTAGTATACTACCAGAACTCGTATATGCTTCGTTTAACATTTTTTCCATTTTATTTCCAGAACCATGCACATGATAGCTAGAAGGACGATATCGGATGCATACAAGTGGTTCCATGATATCACCACTCAGAGGACTTGGCTCGCCGACGATGTAATAAAGTGTTATTATTACTTTTTGTATATATTATGTTTAATTTGTTAAATGAAATAAGTATTTATTTCTTTGTTTTTCTTGATGTAGCACATTGACATGGCCATGGACTTGTCGTGCGATCGAGTTGAGAGATATCCACAATCATTCCACAAGCTTGGCCGAATAATGTTGAACATCGAGTTCTTCAGTGCCGTTATCATTGAGTATCAGTGGCTCCAACTTCTAGGTAACGAGTACGTGCTTCTCGCGTATATGCTCGAGTGGGTCATCGGGCTGTTACCGAGCGTTGGTGGAAAGCCATGAGGAGTTGTACGCATTTGTACATTCCAGTGATCATGAATCAACACTGCATTGCACTGGAGATCGTGTTCTTGATTCCACGATATGTGTACGACCCCGATCATTCATGTCCGACACAAGGGCAGCTCGAGCGGAGCTTAGAGGCGATGATTGTGATCGTTCCTCTGATGGCTAGATATGTAGGCTTGACTGTAGAGGACAAACTAGCAATCGTGCGGGATACGACGACGATGAGACAGTCTATATCGTAATTCTTTATAATCTTTTTTTTTAAATTTAGTAATCAGTTCGTACGTAATTGGAACCGGACTAACACATATTTGTTCATTTGCAGGGACAATTGTGAAATTTTCACAATCAAATATATAGAACTTTTTAGTATAACATATAAGGTTGATGGAATCAACCAGTCATGAATACAGAATTGACGAAATAAGTTAGCATGCGATTTATATGAATTTAATTGTGATCCATAAATTATTTGTAAATATTTTTTATAATTAATATTTGTAATTATTTTTTGTGATTATTTGTAACTATTTTTCGCAATTGTTTATAATTATTCATTTAAATACTGTTTCTTTCAATGTAAATAATATTTATTTCAATGTAAATATGAGCTGAAATCTGAATATTGATTATATCGATGTAAATATTGTTTATTTCAATGTAAATATGAGCTAAAGTCTGAAAATTAATTATGCTGATGTAAATACTGTTTATTCAATGTAAATATGACCTGAAATCTAAATATTGATTATATCGATGTAAATAATGTTTATTTCAATGTAAATACGAGCTGAAATCTGAATATTGATTATGCCGAAATAAATACTGTTTATTTCAGATCGACAATAAGACACAATGCTCTAACTGTCATTTGGGGAACCTGACTTGCACAAAATTGGCGAGTATGTTCTACAGATTTGCACTTGCTATACCTACGCAGTTGGGGAAACTCTCCAATAAATGGTATTCTAAAAGTACTTGGATGTGCAGGACCACGTGGTTCAATGTGAGGTGGCGACAATGTATTGAACGGATGAATATAATCGAGAACTTCCCACTCGGTTTCATTTGAAAGAGGAAATATGGTTTCAACATACACAACTCTCCGATTTTCTGCAGTGTAATAAGGAAAGCACAATGTTCTTGCTGTAAATTCTCGATACATAGTCACCGCAACTGCATGCTCACATGGAAAAAGTCTTTAACTGAAATTGTTTACAAGTGCATGTTCCATCAGTCAAATCTACTATGTATGCCGTATTACGTGCACATTCTACAGAGAAGCGCGACTCGTCTAATGGTTCAACATTTAACTTTCTCGCAGTCTCTACAGCCTTGAAGAGCTTTTCCTCTTGCGCNGTCGATCGTGAAGCCATTGTTGCAGCTTCGTACAGATATTCTCAATCAGTGCGAGAATGGATAACTCTCGATTCCTTTTGAATCATGCATTGAGAGAATCCGCATTGTTTGACGTCATCATGTTGTATAGATGACTTAGAAAATATGAGCGCGCCTAATATTCAATCCCCATTTTCGTTAGATAGTCTCATGTCGGGAATGATTTGCTTTTTATTTGAACCATGTACCTGTTACACTCTTCAATATTGTAAGCTTCCGTCGCTCTTCTAAACAGTGAAACGCTGTCTTTACCTCAATACATGGTCTTCAAGTGGCCTTGTATATGGTACATGCAATACCCATCATGTGCATCGAGAAAAACTTTAGTAATACCATTTATTATAGACTGTCCCTGATCGGTTACAAATGCAAGGTCTTCAATTTCCCTGACTACTTCCCTAAGTTTTGTGAAGAACCAACGTATCGACAGATCATTCCGGTTATCAACTATGCCGAATGGAAGAGGGTAAATTTGGATATTGGTATCTTGACATATAGCAATAATCAACTTGCCTTATATTTGGATTTTAGTGTTGCATCGTTGACTAGAATTAGAGGTCACATAGCATTTGGAAATCCCCAAATGCATTGTCCAAGAGCCATAAAAAAGAATTTGAAGCAGTTCTCAGCCTCCGTCTCAATAAAAAATGCCGAGCCAAGATTAGTTTTCTCCATGTTATGGTAATACTTGGTCAATTTAGCATAGTTTTCCTTTGTCGAACCCATAAAATCTTCCAACGCGCATTCTTGGGCCTTCCAGGCCTTCTGGTAGCTCATGACTACCCTGTACTCTTGACGAACATCGTTAATGATGTCCGATGGTCTGTAGATTGTTCGTGGATCATGATACTTGTGCATTATCTGTCGACCAATAAACCAAGATCGGGCTTGCCTGTGATCATTACGACAAACTCCCACTTCACAAGTATATTCCCGTGTTATTTGTGAATTACGAAGCACTCATTCATATCCATCTTCGTTGTTCGCAAATGCCAACTGCAACTGTCATCTACGCATGATAGCGTCAACAACGACCTATTCGATTTTTTCACTCTAAACTCGAAGTTGTATTTCAGTGCAATTAGGTGCATGTCTTATTGCAAATCTTTCTTCGTTTAAAAAGTTGCTAGACATACAAATCCTCATTATCGAGAACCACCATGAGGAATTAGAGGACGGTCTACTCGATCTAGCTCTCGAGGTCCCACCCCAGTCATGTCTCTAGCGGGATAAAGCAATCAACTCCTCATTTGTAAAAGTATTTACATTTTCATTCTCGTTGTCATGAGCTGTGGAGGGGATTATGTGTGCAACTGTATCTGGAATAATCACATCATCTTCACGAACTATCTCCACCGTATCCCAAAAATCTTTAACATTGTGATCCCCACCTCTCGAGTCTACTTGTTCATCTTCGACGACATCATTCCTTACTAAAATCAGGCAAAGAGGAGTCGTGTGCTTATTGTTCAATTCAATCAGATAATTCACTTCATCAACAGAAGAATTCATTATAGGTGGAATCGGAACTGATTCATGCTCATTGAATTTAAATTTCAATTCCATATTGTACTGAGAATGATCAACATTCAAATTGTTTCGTAAATCATTATAGAGTTCTGCATACGATGTACCTGATGATATGAAAATTGCGATACCACCACGTTTAGCACTTGTCCATTTTCATACACATTGATCTCTTTCATCCAATTCGAAATCACCAAAATAACAAATTGGGATTACAACCATATCTGCATATCGAAACAGAATTTTTAATTACAAGAAAAATATCAACAGCAATAAAAATAACCAAAAAAGGGGGAAAAAAAGAAAACAGTTGACAAACAGTCGGCTGTTTGACCGACTGTTAAACAGTTGGTCAAACAATCGGCTAAACAGTTGACTATTTGATCGACTGTTTGTTTGGCTGTTTGACCGAATGTTTAACAGCCGGTCAAACAGTCGAATCATCGGCACGCTCCGGGCTATTTCGACATATATGCAGATGAATTTTTTCTAGTCAAATGCTTAAAAAATTACAGATCTATTAAATTTTTTTATCTACATTACCATTAAATGTCGAAATACAATTTATCGATTTAAACATACAATAATTTAACGAAAACAAGATTAAATCTATGTATATAAACTTACCGAACCGACAAGATTGATGTCCACAAATTTTTTGACTTCTGATTTCGATAAATTTTTTACTTTCTGCGGTTGAAACAGATAAAAGATTAGAGTATTTTATTTATCTGTGTTGGAGTAAACAAATAAGAAAAGTAGGAAGTGTTTGATTTTTATTTGTTAAGTAAAAGGGTATTGATGTCTTTTAAAAAAAATCAACTTTTGTAATTGTATAATATATTTAAGGGTATTTTTGTCTTTTAACATTGGATAAGCCATTTTCATAATACCCCTTGATTGAAAAGTCAATACGAAATTTAGGCAATTTGATTGAATCAATTTTAAAAGTAACTTTGTTTAATGAGGTCTTATTCCAGTCAAGTATGTGGTTCGGGTTCGACTGGCCCGACTACCCCGTCGCTCCAATCCCTACTTTTTGACCTGCAATCGTAGTTATTATGCCCATTGTGAATCGCAGTTCTTAAAGTCGCACTGCTTGAAATCGCTACTTCCTGGACTTGGGAAAAAGAGGAAGCCTATAGTGTTCCGCCGATCTCTTTCTCTCCCTCTCTGCGTGTGCTGTAGGTGTAAGCAGTTGGCTGCCCTTGGATTTTTAGGTTACACAAACTCATAACCGTGTTTTGATTGGTTAAATTTATCTGGTTTGCTTTTGGTTCCGCTTATTTGCTGCGTGCCCACAACATGTTTGCTAAAATGCGTGATTTGGTATTCAAATCTTTAATTATAGTGTGTAGCTAAAGTAATTGATGTAAGTCATTATTAAATCCAATTCCAAGGTCCCAATTCATTGCTTTCGAGCATGTCCGCCTTTTGTTTTATAATATTTGTATTTGAGATATATGAGGAATTTAATGTCCAAGTAGTGCATTTATATGTAGGCATATGATAACAGATCTTGATGAAGGGGCCAGATCACAATTTCCTGATAAGAAAATGAGAAAAAAAAGTATGAAGAAATTGAGAAATCTTAGCATCTCCAAGATTTTAAGTGAGAAGAACAAGGGGTTTGCAATTAAAATATATAGTTTTATCGATCTTTTCCCGTACTATGATGATATATTACTGGCAGCTTCAGTTTTCAATTTCTGCTATCTGATATTTATGCTTCTGTTGCAGAAGAGTGGATTTTACAGTAATTTTTTGTTGCATTTACCCCGCATTAATTTCACTCTTTTCTTATAGGTCATATGAAAATTTTAGGAGTAAGACTTACAAAAATTTCCAGTTTCTTTGCAGATGGCATTGGTTGTAATCTGTGGCCAACCTTGTAGTGGAAAGTCAAGAGCTGCAGCCTGCCTAGCTGAAGCTCTTCAAGAAACTGAATCTAAGCCAGCAGTTAGAATCATTAATGAATCTTCTTTTCATCTTGATCGTAACCAAAGCTATGCTGACATGATAGCCGAAAAGAATTTAAGGGGGGTACTGAGATCAGAAGTTGATAGATCTTTGTCAAAAGATGACATTATCATAGTGGATTCTTTAAACAGCATAAAGGGTTACAGGTACGAGCTATGGTGTTTGGCTCGTGCAGCTGGAATTAGATATTGTGTTCTTCATTGTGATGTCGAAGAGGCCTACTGTCGAAAATGGAACGAAGAACGTAGGGAAAAATTGGAGTCTGCTTATGATGATAAGATAATTGAAGATCTTTTAAGGAGGTTTGAGAGGCCAGACAGCAGAAATCGTTGGGATTCTCCATTGTTCGAGTTATGGCCTTCAAGAGATGGGATTGAAAAATCCTCTGCTGCTATAGTAGATGCTATCATGTACCTGACGAAAAAGGTCGACTCGAAAACAAGGGACGTAAAAGTTCTACAACCAACACTTGCAACACAAAATGCAAGGATTACTGAGGCATCTTCTCTATATGAAATTGACAGAGCAACACAAGAGGTGACCAATATGATAGTGGAAGCTCAATCCCAGGCTATGGGAGGCCCGCTCAGTGGTGTGTCTCTTGGGCCTGGATTACCAACTATTGATATTTCAAGGCCCGTTGGTTTACCTGAGCTACGTAGGTTAAGACGAACCTTTATAAAATTAACTGGGCAATCAAGCTTGAGTGGCCCACCACCACCTTCAGATGCTGATAGTGCAAAGAGGATGTTCGTTGATTACTTGAACAGGGAATTAGGAACCTGTTAAATTAAGATGCGTGGCAAATCTTGGAATTCCAGGGGAATCCCCCACATCATATATTATTTAGTGTTTGGTACACTTTCAAGCAATGTCCTCTACACGGATGCGAGAAAACGACGCGTCAACTTTTCGTGCAGTTTGTTATAGCTCAATATTATTTATTGAGTGACTCACTTAGTGGTGTTTTATGAATTGATTCGACCTTTTAATGCGTTAAGGTTTGCTAATGTTAAGGTTTGTTCTTGTTTTCTGAAACCTTGTCGATGTTATGTTAAAATTTAACATTGACCTTCTGTACTTGACTTTTTATAATTGACAAGCCAATAACATTCGAGCTCAAGCTGCCCCTCGCATGATATATGCTTGAACACAGGCTCAAAACTAGTCTTGACTAAGATGTGGATGACTCGGATTTGAAATTTGGTGTGAAAAGGATCGATGAATCACCTGACCTAACCACCACTCCGCACACTAACTTTTAGTGCATGTGGCGTTAATTTGATTTTTAAGTTAAAAAGGATTCAATGACAGTTTAGTGAAGCATTCATAAGCGAGTTCTGTGTATTGTAGTTTTGGTTAGCACAAAAGAAGAAAAATAAGATAAAATATTGTCTGTTGTTTTATCTTTAACTTGTCACACACAATTTATTAAGCTTCTGTTTAATGGGAATCAAAATCAAATTTTTAGTAGATTTTAATAAAACTGATAAATTTATGGTTGAAAAGTTGTGGAACATATTAAATATGTGGTTAAAATTGATTGTTGATTTTGATTACCAGACAGGGGCTAAATATACTTGTAGAGCGCATTTCATGTTCTATGTCTAGTAAAAAGATTGATACTAAATATAAAATTCTATTTCGATATAGGTTGTGAGCCTAAAAATCATTGCCAAACTTAAACTAGCTTTTTGTATGGAAAAAAATCAATAGAATCAAGTTCATTGTAATTTGATTATTTATTGAGTTAATTTTACATATGGTCACTGAAGTTTCAGTAAAATGAAATCCCTGTAAAATTAACTTGATACTTTTGTGCGACATTCTTAGTATTTAAGTTAAGAAGAGATAAATAGTTTTGATATTATTTGAATAGTGGCGAACAAATGAAAACAGTATTCAATATTATATTTGATGGCATGTGATCTATTAATGCTTCATGTGTCAACCGTAGCATAGGAGGATGCATTTAGTGCAAGTGATAGGGTTTTGTTCGAATGATTGAAATTAGGCTCTAATGTGCTTGAATGATTGATCAGAGATGCAAACTGCTTAATACAAGATAAAATGACTAGTGCAATTGCTTAAGATTTTTATCAATTAAATTATTTACGAATTTTTTGTTACACTTTTATATGTATTCATTTACATTGATTTTTATTTTTTTTTAAAAATACACTCTCTTTCATGTACTGTTTTAAAGGAGAATACAAGTCCACAGAATTTTCACAATATCTTACATATACCTAGATCCACTGTTCTTTAGAGATCTTAAGTATATTATATTCTCCATACTATTAATTTGTCATGCCAAAATTACTATTAAATCAAGATGGTTATAGAAAAACTTAAGCAATTCATAAATTTAACCGTTAGCGATATGCTAAACCCAACTTATGTTCATCATATAGTTACTCATATAGTTCACTCCTTTTTTCCCACTCCATGGAGTTCGAAGCTATGGTGAAGTTTTGCTTTCTTTGCTTGCAGTACAAGTTACAGAGCTTGAGCTTGTCATTGGCTTCTTCATTGGTTGCAGCATTGATCACTTGGTGGATGCGACGTCATTCTAGCATTTCTTCAACTCTTGGGCCGAGCCCTCCGAGGATTCGACTGTGTGTCAAAACCTCTTTTTCTCAAACAAGAGCTTCGTTTTGATATTGAGTGTCCGAAGAGTATCGCTATAGACGATGAACAACTCATTCTTAATGAGCTTCTTAATATTCCCCGTTAGAAGAAAGAGTTTTCCATTTCACTAAAGAATGTTGGGTAATTGCCTCAAAAGTCAAAAGTTGGAGGACTTCTATTGCAAATAATAAAAGATAGTTATTGTATGGAAGACTCTTCCAAGTTTATAAAACTTTAAAATCAAATTACGGTCCACTCGTGTAATACTTATTTTATAGAGTACAATAATAAAAAAAAAAAAAGATTAATTTTATTATTATTACACACAAAGATATGTGGTCACTTTTAGCTTAACGTTTAAGTTGTATCACAGCAAAGATGGGGACATCATAAGCTGGAAGTATCCTCCATTTGGGACGATCACAATTATTATGTCACTTAAATATAAAGAAAACAAGTCAAGTTTTTATAAATAAAAAAATTAATAAGAATACAAAAATAATTAGAGTACAAAGGGAGAATTGATGAAATCCTTTTCGGGATACTTATCGATTTGTAATAACTATGTTTCTTACTCACATGTTTCATTTATTAGAAGTTAATTGGTCCCCGTAACACATAGATAATGTCCAATTAAAAGGATAAAATTATCGAAAAAGTATATTTCTCCAATTTTAAAGATGTTTAAAATAATCGAATAAACTAATAAGGAATTTTAGTCTTCAATTATAAGTTGTTTGGCTGTTGTTTATAATCAATCAAATAACTTCTTTCATAAATATTAACCATCTATTTCCCACTTATTTTAATCAATTTTATTATTTAAATTGATTGTAAACAGTTCTCATGCTGGTCTGAGAATATTATTATTATTATTATTGGCAATTTCCTAGATGAGCAAAGTGAGCAAGGATGTTAACATAAAAAGTAACCCTAGAACTCAAGGGGGGTGTTCAGTTGGGGCTTTTAAAGAAATTTTTGAATTCAAAACATTCAAGATATTTCCCTTGTTCGAGCCCCATTTTTTCAAGAATGTATTTCTTTAAATTTCATTTTTAACCACACATTCTCTCATAAAATAATTATACACGTATTTTAAAAAAAAAATTCCTTAAATTTTAACCACACATTTTCCAAAAAATCACTAATCCATAATATGTTTTACCCAAAAATGGGGATCAAACAAGAGCTCAATGTAAATTTTTTGAAACTCTTTAAAAGTATTGATATATTCAATATAGACTTTAAAAAGTCTTTTAAAGTCGGTGTATTCAATAATTTTTTTTTCTAGTTTTTATGAGTTATGGGTATTCAAAATGTCAATAATTTTTAATCAATGTTCTAAAATTCGTAATACATAACAATGTGTTTCGATCGAGTATCAAACATTACAAGCATATACGTTATTATGGGTTTTCCAATTCACTCTATCTTCTTTATCTAAGTCATCTTCCGCGTCATCTAATGTAAAATCATCTTTATCAAGTTCATTTATTTCAACTTAAAAACTTATATTACATCTTATAGATGATAAAATATCGATGTTAATCTCCTCCTCCTCATCCAACAATTAACAATTCAAAATTATATTTTACTTGCATCACTTGATAATAAAATTTCTTATTTATCCTTCCTCCTCTTCTTGTTTATCAACTTTCCATTAAATTAGACATAAATTAGATTATTCATCCTTTTTAATTCGTTTGAAACTCGTCAAATCTTCTCAGTAAATTAGTATCAAATATTAGTTTTCTAATCTGACTAATATTAATAAATATGGGGTCGACAATACAATTATTCCATCTTTAATAATGACTGCTTTTTCTCAATGTGCGAGCCTATGGGATTGGATCTGAAAATCACATACATAGAATTCTTATACCGTTATACAATTCTACAGTATATACGTATAATTTTTATTTCTTTAACAATTATAGAGAATACACCCTGCAAAAAGCTGTTCCCAAGAACTTTCTCGTTCTAATTTTGTCAATGGCGAATTCATACTGTGATTAACCTCTCTCAAACGGTCTCTATACGCACATTTTTATGTTTCAGCCACCTGATACGTAAAATCCCTGATCACGTTTTCGAGCATTCGTTTATTTTTGTTTGCATTCAAGATTGCTTTTTGTGATAAAGCTAATTGTGTTCTTCTGGATCTGATCTGATTTTGGGATCTGAGTGAACATGTCATGAGAATTTTTGGGTTGAATTTGAATTTTTTCTTTTACGAGGATTTAATGATTTTTGTTGGTCTACTGCAGGTTTGATTTGAAGTGGAGGCTTTAATTTGTTGTTTTTAGAGTGGTTGATTGTTGGAATTGGCAGTTGAACTGTTTGTTTTAAAATTGGCATTCTCGTGGACGAAAATTCTGGAGGCCTTTTCAGTTGGAGGGACCACTTGAGGCTAGTAGGCGAGGGTCTTGTTACCAAGGATTCGATAATTGCGTGATAAATTATGGTTTTGATTGCTTAATCGTGTCATTTCACTGAATGATTTGCTGATTGTGTGGTCTAGTTGATGCTCGAGCGTGCTCTTTTCCAATGCCAGTTGATGTTGGTCGGAGTCTTGATCATATGATATATGGAAGATTGTATCTGATGATCGGTTACAGTTTTCGGAGTTCTTGGAGATTAATGTTGGAGCAATAGCCCATAAAGACTGGATTTGTTGTACTAACTTTAGGAGAAGATTGCAGAAATTGGACATGAGAAACTCCTGGTTCCATAAACTATCATTGATTTTCGGCCCTAGACCGCTACTCAACTGGTTACTTCTGTGTCTAGTTAGCATCTTTGTTCTGATTGCATTATTTGGATCATCTTACCCAAGTGCATTTGATTCTGCAAGTGCTTCTGTGAGATCCGACATCTATGCGAACTATAGAAGGCTAAAGGAGCAAGCAGCAGGGGATTATTTGGAGTTGAGGAATCTGGTAACTGATCATGTGAAGGATTTTGGTCTTTGTTGGAAGGAAAGAGAGAATTATGTGCCTTGCTATAACGTGTCTGCAAATCTGCTGGCTGGTTTTCAAAATGAGGAAGAGTTTGATCGGCACTGTGAAATATCACGAGATCGACATCACTGTTTGGTTCGTCCCCCGAAGGACTACAAAATTCCTTTGACTTGGCCAACTAGTAGGGATGTTATATGGAGTGGTAATGTGAAGCTCAGTAAAGACCAATTCCTTTCATCTGGAAGCATGACAAAAAGGTGTTCTTAATTCCTTTTAATTATAACTTGGTCTTGGATTTTGGAATGTCTGGCAGATAGTTAAAACAAAAGTATCAATTCATCCCAGATAGAAACGACAAGAGTAACTGGAGAGAAACAAGTGCAAAATGCTCAACTTACATCTTTCAGTTACAGGAATAGTAACTTTCTCTTCGATAAAATGTTGTTGCTGGAATATTTAGCACATTTCATATAAAGCACATACCTTGTGTCGTTAGGTAACTATTGTAGCTTTACACATCTGCTTTCTGTAATGTTTATTGTTGCAAATTTTATAGGTTAATGTTGCTGGAAGAAAATCAAATTTCTTTCCGTTCAGACAATGGGATGATTATTGATGGTGTCAGAGATTACTCTCACCAGATTGCTGAAATGATAGGATTGGGAAGTGACACTGAATTTCTCCAAGCTGGCGTAAGTTTTGCCTCACTATATATAGCTTTATTTTTCGCTTGTTAGTTTTGGCTGACTTCAACTTTATAAAGTTTGAGCCAAATATTTTTTATTGACAGCATCAATGTACTTAGATTTATTTTACACTCGAAACAACAAATATATGTATCCTCTTCTTTTTTGCTGGAAGCTGTACAATAAAATTGTCATGTATATGAAGATTTTCTTCTTCTAAATTGCAGGTGCGCAATGTGCTTGATATCGGCTGTGGGTTTGGTAGCTTTAGTGCTCATCTGCTCTCACTTAAGTTGATGGCTCTCTGTATGGCAGCATATGAGCCAACAGGTAGCCAGGTTCAACTGGCCCTTGAGAGAGGTCTCCCTGCAATCATTGGCAACTTCATCTCAAGACAGCTCCCATTTCCACCTTTGTCATACGACATGGTTCACTGCACTCAGTGTGGCATTGTCTGGGATGATAAAGGTATAATCCTCATGGTTTAGGTTTTTGTTCTTCCTTCAATCACCACTTGTTAGTTGCAAGGCTTCCTTTTGCATGCTTGTGACAGTTTAAGTATTAATCTTTGTTACGGGGCTGAGTTTTCTTTTCATTTAATTAATTATTTTATGGGTATATAATTGTTATTTGCACCTAAACAGCATGTATACATGTATTGGATTCTGCTGTGTGAGTATTTTGTTCTTCTCAAATCTATTTAGACCTACTTATATCGAACTCAGAGACCTTTCATATAAATATTCTGTTTAGTGTTCTTTGAAACAATGGATGACTCTGGCTTGGTTTTTTCTAATTTAGGTGGGTTTTTGGCTTGGTATTCCTACTCCATTTGAGTCACTGAGTTGATTTGCCTTTTCTTTTGTAGTAATATTTGTTTTGGCTTTTGAAGAGGGAGGCTGTCACTGGGAATATCATGAAAACCGAAATATTTTCGTCTAATAGAAAGTATATATATGTGTTTTGTCATATTCATCATTAACACTTTTGTTTATGATTGCATTGAAGGTGAAATTGTGTTTTCATTATTTCTTTCATTTCACATACTTTGTGATCTACTTTTCATGAACATCTTAATCGAGTGTAGTAAGCATTGTAATAAGTCACGGTCTGATGTCTTTTAATTAATTCCAGGGCATAAGCACACTTCACCCTACTGTGATTTAGTAGATAACATCCAAAGATTTTTAGACATGAGATCTGTTAGGTGCTTTTTGATCCAATATCACAAGAAAGTTTTTGAGTTGGGCATATTTGGAAATTCATTTTGATTCTAATAGAATGCAGACTTTACAAACAAAAACGTGTTTAGTTTGATTTACCTTATGATATGATCGTGAATAGAATTATGACATTGGCTAGGTCAATGCCATCTGAATACCACTAAGATTTTTTTGTCCCCTCTCAATGTTCCTATCTGATGGTATGTGATTCTTTTTCTAAATTAATTAATTATGATATCCTAGTGTTGCAACAATAAAATGTGGACGCATTGTGCACTACTTTACATAAGTTAATTTCTTTGTGCTTATTAAACTAACAATGCTGAAGCCAGAATAAAGCTCAGAATTGAAAGTCTCTTGGTTCTGTATGTTAAATTTATAAACATTATTTTCTCTGTTTTCATTTTATGGTTAGGTTGGACTGGGGTGTTGGTAAAAGGGGGTTACATTTTTAAGACACTGAATAAATTTGAATTTTGACCTATACACTGCATTGTATTAACAATGATTTATCTGGCAGATGGGTTGTTTCTTTTAGAAGTTGACAGATTACTAAGGCTAGGAGGTTACTTTGTTTTAACCTCACCTAGAAGCAGGCAGCGGGGAAGTTCCATGAACATAAAGAAAGGAAGCATGTCTATTCCATTTGAAGAATTCACCCAAAAAATTTGTTGGAATCTTTTGGCACAGCAAGAAGAGACTTTCGTCTGGCAGAAAACTGCAGATGCTCAATGTTATACATATAGGTGAGACAAGTGGCTTTCACTTATCCTTGAGTCCTTTACTCTTCCTCTGTCGCTCTCTCCATCCGTCTTCTCTATCCCTCAGATTCTCTCCTTCATTATCATAATCTTATTTGTGTTTCTCTGAAGCTACTTTTCTAATTTTTGTTCTAATTTGTAGCAAAAAAGGTACATTACCACTTTGTTCAGGAGACGATGCCCATTCGTATTATCGACCGCTTCCACATTGTGTAGGTGGGACAGAAAGCAAGCGATGGATCCCAATTCAGAAGAGATCTTTTGGGTCTCTTAGCTCTGTTGAGCTTGAAGTCCATGGTAAGTATAACAATTTTAATACTGTATGACTACTGCGTATTTAGACTTTCTTGTCATCAGTTCGAATAACATACCCGAATCTGCTTCTTTCATTTACAAATAGTTGGTATAATAATTCAAATGTCATGTAGGAGTTAATCCTGAAGATTTCTCTGAAGACATGGAGTTCTGGAGATCTGCTTTAAGAAATTATTGGTCATTGCTTTCACCCTTGATTTTCTCTGACCATCCAAAGAGACCGGGAGATGAAGATCCGTTGCCTCCGTATAATATGGTTCGGAATGTTATGGACATGAGGGCCAATTATGGAGGTTTAAATGCTGCATTACTGGAAGCAAGAAAATCAGTGTGGGTAATGAATGTTGTGCCAATAAGTGAATATAAAACACTTCCTTTCATCCTTGACCGAGGTCTCACGGGCATCTTGCATGACTGGTAAGATGGGATAATTACAGATGGCCCTTTAGTGCTGGCAGACCTGTTGTAGGCTTACAACTAGTTTTGACATCATCTTCAATTTGATAGAACAATATGCTCTAGACTTGAAATAATTTTTCGATGGAACATCTTTTACATGAAGAGTTAGTAAGAAATCTTTTACCTGAGAAATTATTTTTTTAACATAAAAAGTTGTTTTGATTTATTTGTTAGGAAAGGGGAAAAATATTTCGTTAAATCAAGGTTAGCTTGAGAGTATGATGCAATGCTATGTTGAGTTTCGTTAAATCGAGGTTAGCTTGAGAGTATGATGCAATGCTATGTTGAATCCTCTTGGTATATGTAGATATATGTTCCAACTTCGTAAATTCCATTAACTGCAACTTTTAGAACCCAAAATTAAGTTTATCCACTTAAAACAAATCATAAATTATACTCTGAACTCAAAATTGATTCCATGCGATTTATCTTGTATGCTGACAGGTACATCATGCTTTTTTGGGTCTTCTCGTCTTTTGCCAAATCAAAATTGATTCCAATTCGTATGCTTAAACATCGGCTTGAAGTTACATGCTAGTCATCCTGTCTTCTGTGTTTTGTCTTTTGCCTCTTCCATGATTTACATCCTTGGATTGCAGCCCTTCCTTTCCATTCCCCCTAAATTCGTCCATCGACAAGTGTATTACAACTTAACTTTTACAATAACTTTCACAGAAAGCTGATTTTGATATTTGAACATTGTGTACAGGTGTGAACCTTTTCCTACTTACCCTCGGACTTATGACATGCTTCATGCCAAGGGACTCCTGTCACATCTCGCTTTAGAGGGATGCAGTATGATTGATTTACTATTCGAAATGGATCGTATTCTTCGGCCGGAGGTAATTGTTTGTGGAACTTGTTAATTCGTGGCCCAAATATTCACATAAGATTGGAATAATACTTGTCCCATTACGTCTTGTCTCTTGAATTTATTTGAGAGATTTTTGCTTGATGGCAGGGATGGGTTATTATTTCCGATGAGGTTGGTCCTATAGAAAGAGCACGAACGCTAGCTACACAGCTTCGCTGGGAAGCCCGTGTTATTGATCTTCAGAATGGCAGTGACCAGCGGCTACTAGTATGTCAAAAGCCATTTTTGAGAAAATGATTTTCCAGTTCTAAAGCTCTCACCATCCCTAGGACCATCCAGTTTTTCGAACTCTGGTAGTTTCTTTACCCTTATCTCTGAATTAGGAACTAGTCGATTATCGTTTAGAGTGTCTTCTGTATATAGTTTTGATGCAATAAAATCACGCGCCCCACTTTTTAACATTTATTCTACATGTACACCAGGATCCAAGCCTGCGCAATATGGTCTCGATGTGGACAGAGAAATCATCCAAGAATAATGGAAACAGAAAATTTTGGAAGTTATAGATTAGAAGAAGGTTTGCTGCAGAAGTATCCCAGTTCAGTTCAAGAAAACAATGAAGATGTTTCCCCTTCAAAAGGAGTATATTGTAGCAAATCATTCATTTGTTCTCAATTTTATTCTTATTTCCATATTTATTTATTATTTTTGTAATCGAATTTTGCTTGTACTAAACAACCTTAATTCTTGATTTAAGAAATGAAGATCATAAATTTTACAATTTCACTCCATAGTTTTTATTGCCTATTCATATCCCTTCTGTGGTCATGACAAAGTCACTTTGGGTTCAATGTTTTAAGAAGAAAAAATACATTAAAAAATGAGAATTCTTTATGTCATCCTTAGCTTAGAAGTAACATAATTCAAGTTTTTTTTCGTGTACAGAATACTTCATCAAACTGGATACTGGTGCAATACTTTAGAGCAAAAATAAGATCAGCCAAAACAATTCAACATCGCAGAGAATTTTCAGATTCATATTGGACAAATGCCATTCTTGATCAAAAATTGAGGCCAAGGACAGCCGCGGGGAAAACGGTACTGGTGGCCTAAAACGAACTGAGAAGCAGCATTAAAGAATGGCTCCAAAACTGTAAAAGAATCTAAATAATAAAATGGACTTTTATCGGCATATTAATAATGAAAACAAAAAATTAATAAATATCAAGAATTTGGTGAAACTCGATTTCTTGAAAGCATCTATGAGTAAGCATTAAACAACGAAAACTTACAGCGGATATGGGAAATAATTATCGACCTTCTTCTTGAGTATATTGAATGCAACATTCAGGAAGTATCTGCATCCACACGATCAAACAATTGACTCAAAATTGATTGCATGAGCAATTAACTATATCGTGACGTGTTGATAAACGATTAATCTATTACGAGGCATGTAAGAACGGTTGACAACGGCTACTTATTTTCATCAAAAATTGATCAGTAACTATAAGTTAAACCTACTGATGTACAAACATTATCCATCCTTCAAAATATGAATATATATATATATAAAATAAAA